GGGCGCGGCCTCGCGAAAGAAAGGCCCGGCGTAGCCGGTGGAAAGGCGTCGCTGCCGGGTGTCTCCCTCGCCCCTCGGGGCCCCGGGGCTTTGCCGGAGGTACCTGCCCGGCTCCAGAGTCGCACTGCCTGCATCAAGTGAAAAAGGTGCCAGCAGTAGCTTCTTGGTGCTCATGGTAGGTTAGTGGGAAGCTTCCCAAGTGGAAATAAAATTTCCGACTTGCCTGTGTACGTAAGACTAACCATTGGAAGGAGGCCCCTTCACACTAACTGAAATCGTTTAAGCCAGTGCAAAAACGGGGGGCTCATCCTATTTTTTTCTTCAAGTCTGGAATTTGCAGCTGTGCTTCTTGAAAACAGAACCGTATCTTTGGCTAGAATAAAGGGTTTTCATCTGAAGTGTTTCCTTTTGAAGAAACACTGCACATGTGTTATATTTACTTAGCATTCAGTATGATTTCTGCTAGAGCATCATTTATGTGCTCATTTATATGCTCCTTTCAGCGTTGTCTGCAGCATTTCAGTTGTATTTGTATGTTCTACTTACACTTCAGGTCTTTTGCCTGAATTTATTACGCTGTCTGGTTCACTGAGAGCACTCAAATTGGCATTCTGGTGCAGTTCATTTGATGTGTTCCACATCAGCTGATAAAGACAGTGGATTGAGAGTCTCCTGGAAGAGGGGGCACTCAGGAAGGATCTGCAGTCCACAGAGTTATCCATGTATCCCACAGTTAATTTTGGCCACTGACACAGAATGGCAGACAAATTGCTTTCCTGGCTGCTGCTCTCAGGTGAACCAGAAGGGGAGAGCAAAGAGGAAATGGATGTGTACAGCATAATGCACGTAACTGCATAGTAAATCCAGTGCTTCCTGGAAAGACTGCAGCCATGTGAAACTACACTGCACGTGAAACAACATGATCTGCTGCTGAAAAGACTGAGCTGATCAGGTTGCTGTTACAGAAGAGCAGGGACTGTGGTTTCCTGGTACTTAGGCTTGGATTTCAGATCTGATCTTGTGACTGGTTTTTCGCTAGTTTGATGCAGATCCACTTGAAGTCCCACAAATTTTATACAGTTACAGAAATTAAGTAGTTAAGGAGAGATTTTTTTTTTAATATGCTATACTTCTACTTTAAGAAATCTCAAAATTGATCTAGAATTCAGTATAAAAAGTAATATAAAACTTGTTACAGAATGATTACTTATGACAAGATGATGTTACCAAATTATCTTAGTAATACTGGCTAGAATCTAGAAATCTTGATCTGGTTTGGCATGACGGATCCAGACAGAGAGTACAGAGAACAGCTGAACAGAACTTGCATATGTGTCTGTGTTCTGTTGATATTTCAGGTTTGTGCTTGCTTCACATTTGTCCTCTTACGCCTGATCTTGCTGTTTAGCTAGAAGATAAAAGCTGAAGCAGCATGTAAATGTAAAAGCTGAAGCAGGATGTAAATGCATACTAGAGAAGAACCTCAGTAGTAATGATAGTTTCTGCAAACATTAAATTTAAAGCACGTGTAATATAAAGTAACAAATTGGAAAATTCTTCATGAAATGCTAGATGAGAATTTGTATTCAAGGCCTTTAACTGAGCTGTGGCAGAGTATTATCTGTTTGAAGTTAAATCCTTCTACATCTACGTTGTCTGAAATGGTCAAGATGAGTTAAGAGATTTGCTGTTCTGTTAGTACGGGAGAGCCCTTTAATAGTCTCTTCTTGACTTGATTTAAATTATTAGTAATGGCAGTAGAATTAATGGCTTACAGTTAGAACAGAAATCAAGCTGGTTCTGAAAGCAGCCACTAGCAGTATGTAAATTATTAACTATTAATACTATCTATTTTTGTAGATAAGACAAATCCGATACTTGCATAGAACAGCAGTGCGCAATGCCAGTGGAGGAGCCTTATTTGTGGTAAGTAATTTTCTACCTTACTATAAGGGGGATGTGTAAGAAGAGTTTAGCATATGCTTTTTTAATCTGGCTAAAAGCTTCTAATGGACAGAACTTTGCTGTAGAAGCCTGCTGGCATTGACAAAGAAGCGTTTTTGCAATAGAACTTCTTACTAGAGTTGTGATGGAGTATCAAAGGATTTTATTTTAGGTTTTGGCCTTGTGTTTCTTTTCATATATAGTGAAAACTCTTATTAATTGTAATGGGGATACCAGCAGCATTTGTGTGTGATTGCAGATGAAACTTCTCTTAAACTTTCATTATAAAGCAGTTCTTGTTTCCTTTTTTTTTTATTGGAGTTAATTGAGTTTGTAATTGAAGTTTATGAAACTTCTTGCAGGCACAATTTCTTGATTTCTAAAATTTGATGCAGAATTATGCTTAGGTCCAGGTCTAGCCCTGTTTACTAGGAGTTGAAAAGTGGAGCTCTTGTTCGTATTATATGTGATACAGCATGTTGCATAAGGATTCATAGTTGAGGCCATTAGCCATTATTGTAATATGTATAAATAGTAATAGTGATTGCAAAAAAGAAAAAGCCCTCAAATGTAAATGTGTAAAGCAGATGTGTTGTCTGTCTATCTCTGAAGAGAACCTGAAGCAAGAGAGGTGTATTCTGTCCCATTCTGCTCCATTCAGAGCTCTATCTAGTCTGCAGTTTAACAGCCGAATAATTCGGCATTTTTCTAACATTTGGTAGAAATCAGCACTTTACTAGAGAATTGACCACTTTGTTGAAAGCAGGTGCTCAGCATTTTTGGACAGATTTTTGTTGTTGTTGCCTTTCTGCAGCTGTCTCTGCAGCTTTTCTCATAAGATGAAATTAATGGGATTACAGTACATCTTTGTATACTGTGCCAGAAACCTGAGCAGGCATTGACGATTTATGGAGTGAGAGCTATGTTCAATGAATAGAGGAAACAGTGTAGGCTGACAACTTAGGAAACTTCAAGTGTAGTTTGAGGTTGGTGAAGACAGGCAAAAGGTGTCTACGGCAACCTAATGGTTGTTGGTGCCTGGCATATGAAGCTAAATAGCTTTGTAAATTCGCCAGGCATTTTTCAAGATTTATGTAACTGCTTACATTTGCTGAAGGGAGGGAGCCTGAAAATAGAGAAAGGGAAGTAGGAAAGTAAAGTTGTGTGTTTTAGTTAGCTACTTGTGATTTGCAGCTGTTTATTTAATAGCATCATTGACTTCTTTTATTCTGCAACAAAACTTTTGCTGAAGAGCATAGGAAATTGTTTTCTGTGGGGGCTTGTTTTATGTATGTGCTTGTTGTTTTTTTTTAAATAGGGTAATATTTGTTCTACGAAGTAAAAGGCTCTGGAAGAAGACAGTTAGATATCATTTTGTGTGTGTAATTGTTTGCCCTAACTGCAACTAAAAGCCTTCAGAGCAAATTGCAGATGTTATTTACTACAGCAAATTTCAAGGGAAACTCATCCTGCTGATTTGAGCTGAAGGCATTATTTTAATCAATATTAGGTGTTTGTATATAATTGGAAAAAAAAAAGAAAATTAAAAATAGTCTTAGTTTTCTTACAAGCAGATGAAGTGTCAGAGGTTGTCAAAAATGGCTTACCTGGGAGTAACTCTAACCTGTGGTGGTGGTGGTCCTCTTTGTCAGTTTACTTTGTCAGTTTACACACAAATGTCTTGGTTTTGTTTTGCAAAGTGTGTGGGTGGTTCTTGTTGCACTTTCCTTATATGAGATGTATATGTGAGGAAGGGAAATGTGTACAGCATATTTCTTTTGTAACAGCAGGAGACAGGCTAGCAGGGAAACTAGTTGTCATAAAATCTAGTATTAGAGGGCAGTTCTGATTTGCATGCCTATGCATTCCTTCACAAACTTTTTCATGCAAGTTTTTTCCTTACATGTTATTAGAAACATACAGAAATAAGAGAACTTCTACTGAAACTCCTTTTAATTCTGAAACAGCCAAGAAGAGACTTTCTTTCAGCCATTAAACTCAGCTTGGTGCCATCACAGGCAGCTAGTTCACACTTCCAGAAAGAGTATATCAAGTTTAAAACTAGGTAGATTGTTTGCCTGTGGTAATGCAAGAGAGCTGCTCCAAAACTATCATATTTCTGATGGCCAGGGAAGGCCTGATTTCAAAGGGTTTTTTATTTACAATAGTTACGTTTCTTTCTTTAAACATGCCTTCTCTATCTTTGACTTCTACCTGTCTTTAGCCTCCTTAACATTTAAAACTTAACTCTTCTATGTGGTTTTCAGCACATGAACTGAGTTTCCTTAGCACATCAACTGCCCTGATGTGGACTTTGTCATGGGGCTGTACAGAAGGTTAGATAATAGCTTTATTATAGTTTTAGTTATTTGTGAAGATGGTCAGTGAAATACTTGGGTCTGAGAGCACTTCCACAATTCTTAATTTAAGAGAGGTTTATATCGTGAGTTCTGCTGTAGGGTACTTTCTCCTTGGAGGAGAAGTAATAAGTTTCTTTTCATTGCTGAGTTGATACGGACTCTTAACAGGTTGTTGCTCTAAACATCTTTTCGCCTGCAGACCGCACAGTGTTCTCATTTTGGTTTACAGTGTTTTGGATTGGTGTTTACCATGGGGCATAGGTCAACTTTTTTGCAGTATACGTGAAAGCTAAAATTATTCTAGTTACTATGTTGTAATTCTTCAGCACTCTAATAACTCTTTATGTCAAGAAAGACAGTGATCAGTGAAGAAGATCAGTGAAAAAGAATAATAAAATCGTCCAGGTTGGTGTGGCAAAAAGAACATGAGGTGAACTTTCAGCAGCCTTAGTACCTTCCACAGGAGAGTACCATCATCTGTGGGGACAGCATGGCTTGGGTCAGCCTTCATAGTGCAGTTGTTCACATTTTAAGTAGGTTAGGCTGAATGCTGCAATACAAATATGACACAGCCAAGCTGTGCATGGAATGAAAACATATTGTGTTAGGACTTCAGGAAATTGGGCACCATGATAAGGGAGTCGGAAAAAACATGTGAGTAGAGTTTGACCTTGCTTTTCAACAAATTGCTCTAGTTGGTAGAGACATAATTGTTTGTACTTAGTTTGTGTATGGAGGAAGCCTTAATATATTGGTTTCCTTTTATGAGCATCTCTTATATGAGGAAAGGCTGAGAGAGCTAGGACTATTAGAGAAGGCTGGGGGAGGGGAGAATCTCATCAACGTATACAAATGCCTGAAGTGAGGCTGCAAAGAGGACAGAGCCAGGCTTTTTTTAGTGGTGCCTGGTGACAGGACCAGAGGGAATGTCTTCAGAGAACATCAGGGAACATTTTTGCACTGTGAGGGTGACCAAGCACTGGCACAGGTTGCCCAGGGACGTTGTGGAGTCTCCCACCTTGGAGATACTCAGAAGAAACCATCTGGACATGGTCCTGGGCAACCAGCTGTGGGTATCCCTGCTTGACTGGGGGATTGGCCCAGATGACTTCCAGAGGTCCTTTCCAACCTCGACCACTCTGTGATGTAACACAGTATTGCTTCCAATACCGTGTCCTTAATTCTGATCTTGTTCTGTAGAATCTGTAGCCTAAAAAAAAAAAAAAAGGCAGAAATGCGCCGATATAATTTAGGAGCAAAATCAGCTCATGTAAATCTCAGATAAACGGTGCATCCTCAGACAAATGCAATACTAGGGAACATGTGACTGACAAATTTCTGACAGCTCAGTAGGCCTAGAACTCTGTAAGCTCTTGATGAAAACTATCAAACTCTCCACAGCACAGAATTAGATTAAGACAATTTAGGAAAATGGAAAGAAAAAAAAAAAAAATTGACGTGATCTTACTTAGTGTTCACCTGTGCTATAGCATTTACAATGCATCTTGGAGCCTTGCTGCACAGACCTGTGTGACAAACTGTTGTTTCAGATACGAAGCCTTTATTATTCCTCTTAGCATGTAGGGTATTTAAGGATATCAGTTTAGAGATGATACTCTGAAAAGAACAGCTGCTCTAGACAAAGAGGGGAGATTTTAATAAATCAAATATACTTATTTGCAAAATAAATTGAGATAAAGTACAATTGTAACCATATCAAATAGCTATGGAAGGCAAAATAGCAGCCTGAAATAAAACAGGAATGCAGGTTTGAGAAGGAAAGGTTAAGTTCTGGAAATACTTACCGTAGCTATGGAAGGCAAAATAGCAGCCTGAAATAAGGTTTGAGAAGGAAAAGTTAAGTTCTGGAAATACTTACCATGAATCATGGATTTGATCTGCAGCTAAGGCATAGAACAGGTCTGTAAGGGGGAAAAAAATTAGAAGTTGCACAGTATTTCCAATCAGTTTTTCCTACATTAGTCTCTTTTTGAGAACTTCCATTAAAATCGGTAGAAAACCCTCACCAATAGTACATATGAGGAGTCAAATCCTTTATCTGGAAGGCTCAGTCTAAAATAGTGGCAATTGTGTACCTAAAAGCTGTTTTATGTTATCTTGCAGACCACACAATAAGCAATAAATTCATACTTAATAAAATATTAGTGTGTTCAAAGGGAATAGGTTCTCTTTCTGTAATTCCTGTTATTAGGGGAAACTCATCCTTAGTGAAGAGGTAGATATTGACTGTACTTTTGTATTTGTCTTGGAACTGCAGTAGGGGTACGTGCTCTCAAATTGATGGCGTTAAAATTTTTCATTAAATCCTTCACTGCTTAATAACACAGTGTGGGAACTGCAAAATCACCCTAGGTTACTTGAGAAAATGATCAAAGTGAAAGTCAATGGAGTGGGTTTCTTTCCTCAAAATATATTTTTAAAGCTTTTATTATTAGCTGGTTGTGGATTACTTTTAACATCAAGCCTTAAGTTATAGCTTGCATTCTTCCCCAAACTTGCCATTTAATTTGAAACTTCCTCTGTTTGACAACTGTATAAAGTTTGGAATGAAACTTAGCTATGACTATTTCAAGGACACCATAAATGAGCTGCGAAGAAATAACTGAAAATTTTATGCAGGAAGTTTTTCTGATGGATAAGGATTTTCATCAGAACTAAGATTTTTATTATAAGAAAATGTCACTTTCTTCAAGACTTCAAAAATTCTGTTTTCTGAAAATAGAAAAACTTAATTTCAGTTTTATGTTTCCCTAGAAAACCACCTTAAAAATAGTAGATGATAGAATACCTTATTTTGGAAATAAAAATTCAGAATTCTGCTTCCACTCTTGATTTGGAGTTTTATCTAAAATTAAAATGTTGAAATTCATTACAAATCAAAAGAATATGTTAAAATGGGTTAATAATGTGTGTTTGAATGTGCAGACATTTTAGTTAGAGAGCAAGCTTCTTGATGAGTTTTAAAGCTTTTATAGTTAATGTCTCATGGGAAAAGAAAAAATGGGCTGGTTTAGTCCCCTGTTGTTCATTAAGGTATTAACCCAAGGACTCTTAATCCACGTGTGATGAGTTTGAACATAATTGCCAAACTGTATTAACAGTGTTAAAATGTGTAATTTTTGATAACACCACCATATTCCTCAAGACATAATTTTTTGAATAGGAAATAAAAGGAATAAGTCATTATTTTTAACAGTGATGAAATAATTACCAATATTTTTTGATAACTTTCCCAGAGATATTTAATCATTTATGATTGAGTACTATGAATTTTTTATCTGGAATATATCTGTTTTATTCAAACAACTCAACTGTAACTGTCTAACAAGAATATACTTTACAACAGTGAATCTGTCCTGAATAATTTCCTGGCAACCCTATTTTTACATGGTTTCTTTTTCTTTTCCTGAAGCACAGAGATAGTCCTGAAAATAACCCAGATACTCCATTTGAGTTCACACCTGAAAACCAAAAGGTATGCAGACAAAAAAAGTTAAATACGCAGACTTTCTC